GCTAGCTAGAACCATTAGAAGGCTAGCTACAAGTAGCAAAAGGCTAACTATAAGTAGCTAAAGGCCAAAGCAAAGAAAAGGCTAGCTACAAGTAGCAAAAGGCTAACTATGAGTAGCAAAAGGCTGAAGCAAAGAAAAGGCTAGCTAGAACCATTAGAAGGCTAGCTACAAGTAGCAAAAGGCTAACTATAAGTAGCTAAAGGCTGAAGCAAAGAAAAGGCTAGCTACAAGCAGTAGAAAGCTGCTAGAAGTGTCCTGAAGTAGTTAAATATAAATTTTCATGGCCATTGGCCAAATAAAAAGCATTAAAACAATATATTATTATAATATTATTATTATTCAGAGCATCATGAAGACATGACGTCATACTGAGACGTGGAAAAAGGCTTGTCTGTGATCTGGGCTGGAAACACGGACTCAGATTAGTGCTCACCAGGCCCAGCAGTAATTACAGACCCGGGTCGACCAGACTACAGCCGAGTCACTTCCCTCTCAGACTGTTGTTCTGTTTAAAGGAGTGCTGGGCTCTGAGTGGAGCTTCCTGTACAGTTCAGAGTTACTCATCAACAAGTCTTTATCTACAGTTCATCACATGAATCAGGGTTTACTGCCTTTCAGCAGGAAGTTCTTACATGGAACGAGACATGAGATGGTGTTGGTTCAGAGTCATTTTACAAAACCAGGGTCAGCTTAGACGATGAATTTTAGATGCGAAACTTGGAATGTGGAGATAAAAAACATTTTTCCTGTTAAATGCCAAACGTTTTGTGTTCTAAGCTAAAAACRGCTAAAACTAGAACTTTGGGTTTGATTTATACGACTCACAGCGAGTTCCTTTGAGCTTTTCCTCGTCCTTCAACAGTCTGTTAGGCTGGAAAACCTCATCTGAGCTTTAATAAAGGAAGGAAGGAAGGAAGGAAGGGTCGAGCTGAGACCGAGAGCAGGCGGACCCCCAGCTGCAGGCAAACACTGGAGGGGAGTTGGTTTCACAACAAAACCTGCTTAGTTTGAGTTTTTATAGCATTTAAGGTGTGGTTGATTACAAACACATCATCTGCATAAAATCAAAATATCAATAAGTCACAAAGTACATTAAAGAGCCTTTAGGTTCCTTCAGGTAGCGTGAAAACATTCTCACAGCTGAAAACCACCGACAGGAGGGGGYATTCACTGCTGGTTTCACGAGCTAAAGGCGAGCGACCGCTGAGAGGCGGTGACGCCGTGTGGTTAACCTTTAATCCGGTTAACACACTGACCGCAGAGGAACAGAAAGCAGCCGGAGCCGTGGCAGCTTCAGCTTTTCTTTCTGTGTTCGCAGCCTTCATACCTGCGAGGAGGTTGGATTTGTCGCACACCTGCGTCTTTTTTTTTATTCATTGTTTAACGGGAAGCTGCAGCTGTTCAGAGTTTAACCTGAGCTTTATTAGTCCTGCAGTCACAAAGCTGGACTTTAACTGAACAGATGTGGTCGACTTTCAGCAACACGTTGCTTCTCTGTTACTTATTGCTTAAATCTGCTGAAAACYGCTCCAAAGCTGAGGAGAGAGTCTTAAACTGTTAAAAATWTGAGTTTTATCAGCAGGAAGTCTCTGTTCCCCACAGATTCAACCAAACTTCCTTGTTTAGAAAGAAAACCGGAGACGAAACATTAGCAGGGGGTTAATGAGGGTCTGAGTCGATGTTCTCATGACCTGCTAACGCCTCTTAATTTAACWTTTCTGCTTTTAGATTAAAGATCAGGAGCAGAGTTTAGATGAGGTGAAAGTTGTTTATATTTCAGCGATGCGGTGGGATTTTTCTGTAAAAAGATTAGATCTGACTTCAGAACAGCGTTTGTCTAAAGAAATGATCAGAGTGGGCCGTAACTGCTTATTTTAGCTGTTATTTGTAGTCAGCACTTTCCACTGACGTGACGATCTCAGTCATATTTATGATCAGAACTCGGAGCCACAAGAAGCTTTTTTCCTTCTGACTAATGGTTCTGAATCCCCTCCRGACCGGGTCCATCTGAGCCGGGACAGAACCCCGAGCTGTAAACAAAGATGGTCTTCAGGAATGTCGGAGCGGAGAGCTAAAGCTGCCAGCCGCTCCTCACAAATGGGTTTAGTCTGAATTTATTTCAGCTGATTGTTTGATAAGTTGTCCGGTCACTGTTTCAATGWCAGCTTGTAGCTAAAGAAATTACATTTTCTGTTAAATCCAACGATAAATAACAGCCGAAAACTGAGTCAAAGCTAAAAGAAGCAGAACACTAGGAAACAGTTAAAACAGCTAAAAGCTACAGGGAGCATAAATACTAGGTAAAAATAGTAAAAAACTAGTGAAAAGCCAAATACTAGCTAAAAGGTAACAGTATCCAAGGCAACTGAGTTAAAAAGTAGCAAAAAGTGGCTGAAAACTAAAAGTATCAAAAAGTCAGCTAAAACATAAAAGCATAACTAAAGCTAAAACTAGAACACCAGCTAAAAGCTGAAAGAAGCTAAATGCTAGCACAAGCTATAACTTACAGAATGCTAGAAAAAAAGCAGAACATAAGCAAAATGCTTAAAAATGCTAAATACTAGCTAAATGTTTTAAAAGGTTATCTAAAAGCTTAAAGTATCCAAGGGTGACTAAGAGCAAAAAAAGTAAAAGGCTAGCTAAAAAGAGCAAAACACTAGTGACAAGCTAAAAACAACTAAATAAATACTAGCTGAATGTATCAAAAAGGCAGAAAGCTAAAAAATGCACAATGCTAGAAAAAGCTAAAAGTATTAAAAAGGCTGAAAACTTAAACAGCGTTGTTGTTGTTCTTGTTGTTGTTTTTTCTTGAAGCAGATATTCAACAATATTTTTGAAGAAATTAAAACTTCAATATGTGGTAAATAATAATCAATTTAATATTTTTTTTTGATTAAAAGCCAAAAGTTGTTGCACTCATTTCCTGAAGCCAAATGTTTTGATGAACAAAAAGCTTTAAGTGTGCAGAAGCAGTCGGTTCAAACTAACAGAAACATAAAAAAAAACTGTGAACGCTGAGTCAGCATTCTTCTTATTATTTAGTGAGCGATGGCTGTTATTGAGAAAATAAATCTGCACCATTTGTTCTGCATCACATTCAGCTGTCATGTTTACATCATCTGATTCCTTTTCCATAAAGATATGACGACATTTCACACTTCTGAGAACGTTTCTCTTAATTTAACTGAAAAATGTTTTCACAGGAAGTGGTCGTCTGAGGTGTTACATGTTGCAGCTCTGAAGCTTCTGCTTTTATCTCAGCAACCTTGAAATTCAGCTGCAGGTTTATCTTTTCAGAATAAAACACCAGTGGGTTTATTTTTCAGAATAAAACACCAGTGGGTTTATTTTTCAGAATAAAACACCAGTGGTTCTTTCAGCTGTA